CAGAGGTGGGTTGCTTCACTTTACTGCCTTATTGCGTGTCTGCGACAATTCATCCGCGTTACTACCTTGGCTCTGTTTGTGTCTCTCCATCCGTATACGCTTGGCATATGCGTCCATTGTTGCTGCTATGCAAGCGTTGCTCCCGCCTGTGTGTTTTTCGTTCATCCCCTTTTTTTACTTTTCCAAAAGGTTATTCACCTTCCTACCACTCCGAAAACCGAGCTCTATTCTCGTGCACTTTTGTGTCCAGCCACTTGCACGGACAAAATGGATCGCATTATTTGCGGCCACAGGTTTTTCGTTAACAAGCCAAACTGGTTTCCTTCCTGGGACATTCGAGCTTTTAGTCTGATTAGCGTTTTTCTTTGGTACTTTTGGGGCGCACTCTCGGTCGCTGCCACTGCACACACACATGGAGAGCGAGGTACGCTTTACTTTGAAAATATAATTCCACAATTTTCAGCAAAAACGTCCGCCGTTCTAAAAGGATAAAATGAGGCCCACAAACTCACAACACCGGGATATCAAAAGTAATCCATAATCGCAAGTGACTGTAATTTTCGACATCAGGGATAAATATCCAAGGGAGACTCCTCGAATATAGGCTAAATTGGACTGCTTTCAAAACAGCGCTAGCGTTGTGACTTTGTGCCCTCATGACCTCATTGTATTTTTAAATAAGAGGGATAAAAATCGGTTTATAATGGGCAAAGTAGGCCAACCGACGTGCATATAAGAATGTTTACATGCAACTATTGGGAGGGGAAAAATGGCAGCTCAAACTGAAAAGCCCGCCAAGAGCACTTGCTGGAGATGCTTCGCAACACTTTCAAACCACTTCTGTGTTTTTGCTCCTTGACGGTGACTTTACCTCCATTTACAAATATTTCGCCCTTGTTAGCGTATTATTTATTCACAAAGCACAACTGTGCATCCTCCTGTCTTGCTAGATTTGGAGAAGTTTGCACCTCCAATTTCCAAGCTGCCCAAAAAATAGTTGTGTCCTTTGTTAGTTTCCGTAACGACACATCCCGTAGACTCCCTGTCGTAGGCAGACGGTCCGCGTACTTTTTTTCGCAACTGTCACCTTTCATTTACTGGTTAACGATTTGAAAGTTTATCTGATATCAAAGCGTTCGTTAGTGACAGTTTTGGGTGCATATTCTTTGTTCCCCTAGGCACTGTAACTTTGATTGCATCAGAACGCGGGTAAACACTCGGTTAGAATGCTCCTGATGAAATTTATTTCTAGCCTTTTCCCAGAGCTCTGTAGAACAACACGGTGGCAATAGACTTCTTTCTCAGAATATCTTTATACGCATTGGAACACTGCAGTATTTATCCTTACTATTTTTGCCCTTTGAATATTTCATTTTATTTTTTAACGCACGGCTTTTTAACAAATAAGGATATGAAATTGGATTCTGACCGGCGTAAGTGCAGTGCTACTTGTCTTTATTTAAACAGAAGTATCACCTGAAGTGACCCAATGCACTTGCCGATACCGCACTGGCTTGGGCTTCAGTGTATATTTTTGAGGCCGCCAAATTAAAGTGCATTTCGAACAGATAAAACCTTTTCAAGTTGTTTGACAAAATTCACTGACGCTCGGGTTTCTTTGTAAGATAGCCGTACTCTGTTTAATTGCATATGGTCTCCCCGCACGGCGTAAAATGAAGTTTCACATCGCTGTACCCAACTGCCTTCCAGTGAGAAGCTAGTGGACGAGCAGAATGAAGTGAGCTTCTGACAACGCGCGGACTCTCTATGGTCACAAGTTTAACAACGCCATCATGTTTGCTTTTAGTGTCCACCACTTTCAGGAATTAGTCTTCTGTTTGCGCACGCTTTCCCCGTGCTATTTTGTGGGCGAAAGCTATCGCAGTTTTTATTCCCATTCCACTGATCGAGTGCGCGCTTCGCAGTAGTTGACGTGACACCATCTGCCTCCTCCAATTTGCCCCTCAAATCCTCCCAACTGTCCCTATTCTCTACTGAGTGCCCTTTCTGTGTTCCATTATTACTCAAGCCAATGGCGTGTTGCCTTCGATGTCGGCTGATGTGCTCTACAGTCCTCCCAGCCAGTCCAACTGGGAGATTTCAACGCCCCTGGGCACCTCCTTATCAGCGCCCATTAAAAAGGAGACCAAATCGACCCCCTCAGTGGACACCTCCTGCCTGATGGCAAACCAAAAGCCGTCTCTGCAGTCCAGCATTTACGATGAAATTTTGCCCCTTTCTCAAGCTGAGTCGGCCGACGACCATTTGCCGCCTCGAACTTCTCCAATTTTACGCCGAGTGTCTGCCTTGTACGTGCCTTTCCTCCCTAACTTGCACTTTATAAGCCCTCGATAATCACTCACCCTCAATATTACTCGTAAATATTTGCAGCTTAGCCGTACGCTACTTCGAAGAGCGCCTTAGGCTCTGATGTCGTAGCTACATACGACCGCGACAGGTTTTATCGGATGAATATATGCTTTTTTATTCGAAGTTCACGCAGTAGCTCGTTTGCATTGCTAAAGCACTAAAAAGATATGCTGTAAATACATTCCAACTGGCCGGATGAAACCATTTCTCCCTAATTTCTGTTAGTATCACAGTCACACTAGAGTGGATTACGCGATACTGACCGAAAGCTTTACATTCTACAGAATGCAAACGAGTAATTATTGATCTTCATGCAGTTATTTTAACGAAGCAGCTGCTACTTTAATTTCTTCCTGTTTATGTGCCTATTCTTACTTTGTGAACTCTATAATGTTCCTTGCCCGTCACTAATAGTTTCACCCGCCTTACGGTCTCTGCTTACTTTATATATTCGTTTTTTTAGACTACACAAATTGAGCATGTTTGGTTGGTTAGTAGCCCTTGCTGGATCAGGAGCCCCGTCGGGTTGGCCCCTATCCCAGCAGCATGGAGAAGGGGAAGTCGGAGCAGCGTGGTCGGGAGGGGCTGCTCCGTCGTTAAAAACAGAGATGTAGAGGAGGGCAGATTGATCCACCGTAGGGAGGTCGTGTGTGAATGGTAGTGTGAATCACTATGATTCCCTCTTAGGCTTTTTGTCCCATGATAATGCTGGTGCCTATGCTATTACCTTTATTAGGGCACACATTCGAGCTAGGGCCATCTTGTATGCCCCCTTGCCTCCTGCTAGTTTATTGCATCGTTCCCGACAAACTCCAGGTTCTTGTTGTTGTTACTGCTTCCAAAGACTTAGTCGCCTCTCAGTCACATAATGATCATTTTTAATATTTTGATGGAAGTCCAATAACTTTATGTCTTTGTCATTAAACTGAAAGCCCTACGGTTCGTCACTTTGTGCTCTCTGTAAGCCCTAAGCGTTAAGGTTGTCTTTATTATCTGTCCAACCATTCGACCAACAAATATTAATCTTCGTCTTCGGCTCGTGGCATGTGTCATTAACGGCTATTTCCGCCTTTTGCTAAGGTTGCTGTTTGGGGAACAAATGTAATAACGTCGGTGCTGCATAACTGCTATCCTATGTACACTGTTAAGGGGGATATTTAGTTTTTATTACGAACGCGTCTGCTACCCAACCAAAACATTTAGGCTGACCTTTTTCGCATGAGCATTATCGAAAATTCCATCAGATATGAATCTTGTTTTTGGAATACACATTTTGAATGACGATTCTAAAGTATGCAGTGCAAAAAGCTGAGATTGGACCTTTTGTTAGATACCGGTGGTCTAGAAAGCCAGTTTTTGTTTGAGACTTCATTATCTTGGCAGTATGGATATGCATCCCATTTCATCTAAATGGTAAACTCTTTTGACGTTCTTTCTGGC